GGCCATGCTTGGGGACACAACTGAATTTAAGCTCGTATTTCCAGTGCTCTTTACTCAGAAGTCTTTCTTGTACTATTCTGTGGCACAGTCAGGAGTTAAGAAGACAGACAGGAATTTTGTTACAACATGGTTTTAAAAAATTGTCTCCTATAGGCCTTATGAACTGTTTTTCCCTGGGAGTTAGATCAAGCCTGCAATAGGAAGCTGCATTCAGCCTAAAAAGTTTGGTTCCTGGTTGCTAACTCCATTGATTAAGAAGGACAAAGTTGATCTGTGTTTTTACTTGTGCTTTTACAGGTGAAGAGAGTACAATGAAGAGCTTGCCAGATATGCATGTTTACTTCTGAGTAAGCACTTCATCCTGTCAGGTGCATGCTTCTGGCTATTGGCAACATGTAGGGGATGCACGCAGGTGCACGTGCACCTCCTGAGATTGGCAAGGCACCCCCTGACAGAAGTGCTGCCAACGTTGCCAGTGGCACCTGTGGGTGGTCGCCGCTCACCACTCTCCCTCGCCGCTGACACCGTCGGCGGCATCTGCAGGCAGTTGCTGATCACCACTGGCTGCTGCCACCGCTGACCACTGGTCGGCGCTCGCCACCTCTCCCCTCCTTTCCCTCCTCGGCCCCCTCACTGCCAACACCACCACAGCTGCCTGTGAGAGCTCCCTGCCGCTGCCTGCGGGCAGTCACCGTACCTCCCCAGCCTCTGGGGGCGCGTGTCATTCATGCTCCTGGCTTCTAATAAGTTTCCAGTGCAGCCTAGTGGCATGAAATTTGGGAAAGCTTAGATCTATAAGGGCCTTGTTGCACCTTATGTTGTGAGCCCCAAAATGTTAATCAATGTTCGTGCTAGCTTGGAGTTTGGAGCTGTCACACCCTTAGTTTAGAACCCTTCTCCGACTGTCCCACGCTTGCACAGCTGTGACTTGCCACTAGAGGGCTGGTGAGCCAGGATAGGTTTCTATCCTTGCTCTATGGGCAAGGGTGAGAGAGATCCTGGGATATTGGAGGACTTCACCTTGGGCAGAACTTCAGTGGGGCGTGGTCACACCTTAATGGCACAAGATCTGGGTAGTGTGGGTCAGAGAGAACTCTGCCCTGGAGTGGTGTAACTTTAAGAGGCATAATGAATGCTTAAAACCACTTTAATGTGCAGACAATGCAGGGGTTAAAAGGTCTAGGACAGAATCTGGACTCCACCCAAAATGATCATGTAACAAGACCCTAAATCAAAAGACAAGATGAGTACTAGCTAAGAAGTTACTATAAGGTTATTATAATATGGCACTATAAAATGTGTAGTATGTATTGGTCAGCAACAAGGATGATATAACATAGCTCTGAGTTTCAACTGCTGGAATGAACTTTAAATAATATGAATGCATTGCTGATGTCTGAGCTGTAATGTACCTGTCATTGAGTAATTGAGCTGACAACACTTGCTCTAACAGTGGATGCTTTTGAGCAAGGATTTTCTGAAGCCATTTGTGGCATTCATTATTGTTGTTGCTAAGCTAAATCTCCATCCAACTCCAGGGTCAGTATCTACAACCTCCTCATGAATGCTTTTAGCATACTGTACTTTATTCCCAATCCTTTGATGATCCCTTATTCTTTTCTGCTTCAAAAAAGCTCCTTGTCACCTCACCTTTGTCATTACAATAAATGAAATATACTTAGAAAATACTAAATAATTCTGTCATCTTTCTAAATCTTTCCATGACCAAATTTATTTTAAACTATCAGACAAAAAGCAGTGGCTGACTATGGATGACCCTCCCATGAGCAGTGGAGGCAAGCAGTCTACATCAATGTATATTCCAACTAAAAGCTTTGACTGGGACTAGGTGATGTAGTTGCTGCAATAACAGGGGATTGGACTCTGACCCCTTCTACTCCTATGCTCTCACAACTCATTTCTCTTTCCCCAGATTTGGTATTTTTTGCTTCTGAATCCCTTTTCTGGTTTCCTACCTCTATAATCAGTGCCACATTGTGGCTTGTCTTTAGGAGAGGATTTGCAGTATTACATCACTTTTCTTTTGGGGGCAGACTGCTAAATTGGGATAGGCATGTTTCTCTGCATCCAATTGTTTTGATACAAAATGTTGTATGTGGTAGTCTAACTGCAAGAGCAGTCCTGCCAAAGCCTACCTCCCAGATGGCTCTCAGAGAAGTAAGCAGTAATGATCATTTTATAAAAGTGAAGCTGCTTCTTGGACTGTGGCTTTTAGTAGCAGCTGTGCTTGTATGGGCCCAGTGTGTATAACCAGAAGCCACAATAATCTCAATTAAAGGCTGATGGTGAATTAAGGTAGGTGTTTTGTGGGAAGGGAGGCAATAGAGGGACAAATGGAGGTGAAATAACTGTGACATGCTAGACTTTGGGCTATATCAAATGTAGAACTTATGGATTCTGGTACCAGAGGGAGTCCAAAATCAGATTTAGGCATCCGTGCTGGTTAAACAGTCCTTGGTGGGATTTGGGGACCTCACAAGAATGAACCAGAAAATCTACGTGCTGAGGAGGAAGCTACTAATAGACAATAGCTTCCAGTAGCTCTTGAGTGGCTCTCTTGCTGGGCTGCTCTCAGGGTTTCTATGGGAGAACGTGAGAGCAGGTGGAGGGGGTGTAAAGGAGCCACTTGGGTTCCTCTTAAGCCATTTTCACTTTCTAACTGCAGATCTTGGGCATGCTGTAATGGAACAGAGAAGATGGGGCTTATTTCCTTGATGGTAGACCTGGTTTTGAGGAAGAAGTGGTATAGAAATAGCTTCCATGTCTAAATCAGTTTAAGTAAATAGGTACAGCTCTCCTGTGTGGACATTCTTTAATTGTTCTTTAATCGTTAGGCAGAAGGCAAGGCCAGGTGGTTCTTTATATAGACTAACTCATTCAGAGAGGCATGACGTTTTCAGGCTACAGCCTACTTCATAAGGTGCTATGAACAAAATAGGCCGCAGCCTATAACAAGCTACACAAGCCTTCCTGAATGACTTGGTCTATAAGGTGCCACCTTGCCCTGCCTTCTACCTAACTTCAGACTAAAAGGCTAACTACCCGTCCTGTTAATCATTGTAAGCATGGTTAAAATTGGTGTTAGCATAATTTGGTTGGTTTCAGAACGCTCCCATTGATGTTTTTAAAAAAAGCTTTTTACCTGGCTCTTGAAAGCACTAAAGGGCAATGAAAGGTTGAAGCCAGGTCAAGTGTGTAGAGCAGACATCGATGCATATATAGGTTGATGAGCTTAGCAGTAGATTGCTTGCTGTTGCCAGGTTTTGAAGGTGTGTGGATCTGGAATGGGGCCAGTGGAAACCGAGTAGCAGGCCTGCTTTCCTTTCTGCTCTAGTGGATTGTCCTGCTGCTCCCTAGTGAATGGGGCATGTTGGTGGTAACAGTCTGGGACCTAGAATGAATCAATATTTGTACTGATCAATTCTCTGATCCAGCAGAGAAGCACAATTTTAAGATTGCGAGTAGAACCGGGGCGACGCGTAGGGGGTGCACACGGTGCACGTGCACCCCCTGAGCGTGGCAGTGCACCCCTTACAAAAAGGCACCGCCGACACTGTTGGTGGCGCCTGCGGGCAGTCGCCACTCGCCACCTCGCCGCTGACACTGCTGCCAGCGTCTGCAGGCGGTCCGTGATCCCTGCTGGCCACCACCAACACTGCGGGTGGTGTCTGCGGGTGGTTGCCGATCCCTGGTTGGTGCTCAGCACCCTTCCCCGCCTGCCGCCGCCGACAGCACCAGCGGCGTCTGCATGAGCTCCTCCACTTACTGCCACTGCGCTCCTGCCGCCACCGCCGCGCTCGCACCGCTGCCTTACCCCACAGCTGCCGGGGGCACGCATCGTTCATGTGTAGAACATTATTAGCTCAGGGCTTTACATTCTGTCATGTCTGGTTTGAAGCAGTATTTCTATTGCTTTTTACTAACATGAAATACTATATTTAATTTGTAATATTTTATATAATGTCTTTAAAAAGACACCCTAGATGAGGGTTATGACCATAGTACATAGCAAGTGGGCGTACAAAAGGCATTCACACATTTGTAGATTTGTGTACTGAGGAGGTTGTGCAGGCCATGTGATGAGGTTGAAGGGCCACATGTAGTGTCTGTAAATTGTAGCAGATTGTCTGATGGGAAATGCTAGGTGTCACACCTGGAGAGCACAGTTCTCGGTGTGTAATGAGCTCCCACTTACACCAGCAACCCAGAAAGCTCTGTGGCCCTGTCTGCTCCAGGGTGTTGGATGAAAGAAAACTCATAACTAGAACGATATGAAACCAATCTATTCCTATGCCTTCCTTCCTTTTCTTTCCCTCCCTCCTGACACTTGATGGCCGCAGCGCATTGTCATCTGTGTAATATAGTTCCTGAGCCTGTGTGCAGGGTTTGCTGAATGATACCAATGATCTGTAAGCTCTTGGGGCCAGGCAGGACTGTGTTGTTTTACTGGCTTGCAAAGCTCTCTGCACACAGCACATAGTACAAGTAAATGCTAATATTCCAAGGGGTTAGCTGGCCAAGGGGATATGTTGTGGTTCAGGACCTGTCACCTTTGCTGGCTGTACCTCGAAGCTCACCTCTGAGAGTCACATTGCTGAGCCCTGCTGAAGGTCAACACGATGGAGAATTCACAGTGAAAAAAGGGCAGAGCCTGTGACGTTCTGTATTTGCACACAGTCTGATTAAGCTCTGCCAGGCACAGCAGTCTGAAATCCTAAGAGACGGAGCCATTTTTGCCATGCTTCCCTCTGTCCCTAGGCGCAATTCAGACAAAATAGAGGCCAGTGTCTGTGTGTGTCAGGTTGCAGGAGCCTAGGGAACCTGCCTGCAACACAGCGTGAGTGGCAACCCAGATCCCCCAACCAGCAGAGTTCAGACAATCCTTAGATCAATTGGGTTAAGGCAGACTTTCTGCCCGCCTCTTCCAAAGCATCACCACGTGGTTCTCCCTTAGCAACGGCTGGGGATGCCTTGGTACAGCCAGCCAGGGGCAGAGAGGGCTCTACAGGCTGAGTCCATAGGGGCATTGGCTGGGGTGTTTGCATTAAGGTGTACAGCTCAGCAGAGTGAGACTGCTCTCTAGCTTGAGCTGTGACAGCTGCTTCCTCCTAAGCACTCAGCCATTGGCACAACAAACTGCAGTTTTCTTTGCATTTCCTGCACGATTCAAAAGGCAGTCTGCAAAAATGAGCCACCCTCACCCTGGGTAAGTGAGAACTGAAGTTTCCAGATGTGCAGACAAGGGTTTGGGCCAGCTGTGCCCACACAGGGTGGGGAAGCTGAAGTTGGTAGAATGACTAACAGGGGCTCTGAGCTGATATTAAAGGGAAAACTATTTAAAAGCACACAAAAATGCCTTAATGTTTCCTTGCCTGTGATTCTGGAGCCCTTTATGCTCTCATTTCTTTAAATAAGGAACTGGATTTAGTGACACGTATCATTTAATCAGTAGCAGTTGCAGGCACCAGGAATTAGGACCTCAGTCACAGAAGTCCTTGGATCAAGGAGAATGTCTGAATGGAAAATTTTATATGTAGCCAAAAAATAGTGCTAGTCCCTAGTGCAAGAAGTAGGGCTGAACTAATTCACATTCTCCTGGAGGGTTGCAGTGAGGATAAAGGTGGTATAATTTAATACCTAAAAACCTGTATTGATGCTGGAGTTGCTGTATCTTCCTTCTTTGGGTTTACCTGTCTGAATACAGATTTCTGATTCTCATTGGTGCTGTCGTTGTTACTTCACCATTGCTTACTAAAAACAATTGCAGTCCTTAATAATAAACCACAGTAAGAATTCGGTATTCTCAATTCCCTCTCTGCCTTACTCAATGGGATACATCTCTGACTAGGTTTTTATTTAATTAAATATCAGGAATACAAACAGTGAACAGGCAGCAACATCACAACTGCTCTTGGAAATGGGTTAAATGTTCTCCTCCCTCCCCACTTCACTGCTTTGTATTGTAAAGCATTGAACAGCCTACTTAATTATTTGAAGTTCCTGATGTTTGAAAAGATACACTAATCTTAGTTTAATGTTAATAGTTATTCAGTTTTCTAATTAATTCTGTAGAAATAATAGAATAAAATTCAGTGAAGCAAACAACTGAAAGAATTAAGAGGCCTGATCTTGCACTCCAGCTTAGGTAAAACCTCCAGTAATTCCACTGCTTAATTATGTTTACACAGAGGTGAATCCTGCAATGACATATGCGGCAGAGTAACTTAACTCGGGTGGGTAGGCAAAATTGAAATCAATGAGACTGCTCACATCAATTAAATTACTCAGGTGTGCAAGTCTTGGGAGAAGCGAGATCCTATCTAGTAGTTTTCAGCCACAGATCTTTGAGCTCTTTGTAAAGGCGGGTAAGTATCATCACTTTCTTTATAGATGGGAAGCTTGGTGCAACAGGGGTAAGGTTAATATTTTCTAAAGCCAATATTGGATGCCTTCATTTTTTGTGTCCAACTTTTTTGTGTGCAGGACTCCAACTGAGTTTGATGGCAGATAGTTGGAACCTCTAGGCACCCAGGTATTAAGGCACCCTGAATTAGTAGGGAATTCTCCAAATATTTGCTGTATAAGTTTGCACCATGCGCCAATAGTAGTGATGCAGCCCGCTCCTGTGCCAACACCTGAACCATGCTGGATAAAGTAGGGTCAGGAACCTCTGATACTCTTGATGAGTTTTATCCAACAAGTCTGAGAATCTGTGCACGTGTAGAAAATGTTTGAGCCCCCTCTTGGTTTTAGGAGGCTGTTTGACGTGTGTTTATTGCATGAGGCATCCTTGTGTTACCACTGGTGTTTGCACTTAAGGATTCAGAGAAATGTCTCAGTCCTGGCTGTGTTGAAGTCTGTCTCAAAACATTTCTGAAGTAAAGGCTGATTAGACTGGATAATTATCTGGCTGATGGTGAAAACAGTGAAAATTACTCTACTGTTGGTAATTAAAATCAGTGATGATAATTTAGAGAAAAAACATAAAATAAAGGACATTTCTAGTAAGAATCATGTGAATGGAGAAATTCCTAATTTAATCTGTCATTATCAAACCAAAGCTTTTTAATGAAGCAGGGAAATGTTATGAAATTTTTGGAAGCTAGTATTTATAAGTAAAGTCTAATTAGTGCGAGGGGACCTGAACAGACGGCTGTTGAAGTCAACAGAAAGTCTCCTATTGATTTTCAGTGGGCTTTAAAACAGGTCTCAAGGCCTTGATCCTGGAAATAATTAAGCTGGTGTATAACCTTTTGACTCCATGAGTAGTCTCATTTCCTTCTTAGCAACTGCATAGGAGCATCTGCTTAAATGATCACAGGATTGGGGCAAAGTAATTAACTATTCCCCATATCCAGGCCCTCTATCTGTGAATTCAAATGAATCTGTTGATTTGAGCAGTCTGTAGATCAAACTGAGACTATTTTGTAGCCTGGCTTGTTATGAACAATGCTATGGAAGCAAATTTGGGTCTTCAGTTTAGTTATAGTTAATTTCAAGAAATATGTTGCAATAAACTCCAAAACCCCCTAATTTCATTCTTCAGCTGCAAAAGGCTCCTTCTGCTTGGACAGACTGGTATCTTCTCTTGACAAAGGCCCTTTAGGGTTTTGTGTGAGGATTCCTGCAGGTGGGGAGAGAGTTTGCAAGAACTATGTCCCTGTCTCCTGAGTCGCACAACTATCAAGTTTCAGGTTTCTTATCCAACCACATGGATGCCCATCCACCACAGGAGAAAAACAGCTCCCACAGCCATCCTGGTACCTCAGCATAGTCTCTTCACATTGTTCAAGTTCCTAAATGCAAAAAGATACTCACTTGTAAATGTATAACAGTAGAAGTAAGGGAACAGGTTTGTCCTGCTCTGTCCTGACTTGTAGACAAGAAAGCCAAATTCTTGTCTGCTTCTACTTTAGGTAACTGCTCAGGTGCACTTGATTATCTTAAATGAAGGTTGAGCCAGGTAGATTATTCCACATTCACTGAGCCATAAACTGCCACAGGTGAACTTTCTTTCACTGTGGGGTAAATGAATGAAGAGAGCCGTTTCCCCAGAGCAGATGACAGGGGCAAATTCTGACCCCCTTTTAGCTCATGGTAACTTGATTGTGTGCCAGTGCCTCCAGCCCAGACAGGCACACTGAGAACCCCTTCTTCTGGAGTTTAACCTGTTTTCCTCTATGCAGAAAGTATGCTCACCCAATACTTACCTCCTCTCTCAGGAGGACCAGTGACAGGGTACATGAGGGCTACAGGGCTTCCTTCAGGCCACATGGAAAGGTGCAGTTGTAAACCCGCATCACATTAGTCATTTGAGTAGTTTCTCCTCCGTAAAGGAGTCCCATTGAATTACCCTGGTTGTACAATGTCGAATGAACTATTTGCGGTTGAAAGTGCGCAGTTTTGTTTTATGCTTAGATTTATTCTGTTTGCAAGATAAACAAAAAAAGGAAGACTTCTTTCATCAGCTGGAAATAGCACAAGATTTGGTAGCTTATTAAAGTTTTTATTAAAGTTGAGAATGCATCTCCATCAGGGCTAGAACTGTTTGTTCTCATTACAGTTTAAGTGGAAAAGTGGCAATAAACTGCAATTGTACACTATAAAGCAGAAACCGTAATTCCCAGTGCCTCTACCAATCAATAACTAAGGCTTTGATGCTCTCTTGGACTGTTTCTTTGGTGTGCTGTTGCTAACTTAATTACACCATGAACAATTAACCATGAAGATTTGATTTATAAAATGAATGTTAGAGGCTTGCACAGACTTTGTTCTAATCCTTTCAAATCAATAAAAATGGTCATAAAATCATTGCTACAGACAACATTGTTTAGCTTTGAGCTACAGTACATAATACACTATAAGCTGATAAAAGCCAGATACTGCCGATAAAATATTTGGCACTAACATTGCACATGAAAACCCTGTAGAGTAGAACGTTCCAAGTGGACAATCCTTTAATTTTCTCAGTTCTCAGTAGTCTGCGGCAGTATGTTGTGCATTTTGCTTTAACCAGGCGTCAAGTGGTAGTTTCATGGCTCTCGGCTGTGCTGGGCAGATGAAAATGTCATAGTTCTATTGGGTACCTCAAGGGAGGAAAGGAAATCAGCTGAAGCTATGTGCAGTTTTGAACAAGCAGCAAGTACTCTGTCATTTGAATAGCTGAATCCCCCACTGCTGCTGCCAGAATTATTGCAGTGTGTTTTGGAGAGTGGCAAGCTTGAGTGTAGCCCATCAATACATTTTTAAAAAGGCAAAATAAATTGTGGCTGTTGGATTCCAAAGCAGTCTTTCCACCAGTTAATCTGAGTGTTTTTACTTGTCTTTATTAATTTATTGCTTTTGTTAATGGAAAGAAGGTGAGATGGCTCCAGTGACAGCAATTTATTTTCTTGAATGGGCTGTTAAGATGTTATTCTAGCAATGTAAATGATACCAAAGTGTGAGCTGGTAAGCAACTGAAATGCTGCTTGTGCTCTATGATTTAATGCCAAGCTGGCCATTTGAGGATAGTCAGATGATGGGGTTGACTTCCCAAGGATTGCTTCAGAAAGTATTGTGTTGCTCTTAAGCGTGATGCTCCTCAGATGCCTGTATATTTCCCCAACGGATGTCATGTTCCTAATGCTGCTTTGCTGGTTAAGATAAGATGGGGAAGGAGATGTCACGGCCTAGCTGACTCTTTGGCCCTTTTTGGGGTAGGCTAAAACGATACTTGTGGGTGGCACTGCACATGTTCCTTGTGTACTCCTGCACACGTCAACAAAGGGACTGCAGACAAAAGGCTTAGAATAGTTGCTGAATTGTTCCATTTCTGTCAAAAGTAATTGGAAAAAATAGAGATGAAGCTCTTGGGCCAGAGACTATCTTTTAGTAGATTAACTAAATAGTAGCAAAAAAATGTCTTTCTTTGCAAGCTTTTAGGTACACACACCCTTCTTCAGGCTGAGGGATTGTAAAAGTTACAAAAGAAACTTTATTTTGCACAGGGGAGGTAGAGGGTAGAAGTTTATTCCCCTAGGCACCTCAGAGACCTTTTATGAGAGGGTTGCTCTGTGATGGCTTCTTCCCTGGAGGTGTCTGAGGTCAGACAGGGAGGTGACATTTTTTTCTGAATATCTTGGAAAAAATAGGGAATTAAAAAAAAAAATCTAATCTAGTTCTTAGCTAGTCAAATGAAAAACGGAGAATTTTCAGGAGAATTTT